AAATTTGAATTTGGAGGTACCTTCGAATTGGCATTAAAAAGAAATGAATTAAATCCAGAAGCTTACACAGATAAAAATGTGCCAAATGACAAACTTGGAATGTTGTTTCTAATTGATCTTCGGTTTGTGTGTACGGTAAAGCAAATACAGCTGCATTCAAAATTAACATATCAATATGATTCACTTCCTTTTTCAATCGTTTTTTTTTTTTTCAATTGTACGCACAAATGTTTTTACAACATTTGGCATTGAAAATTTGTAAAAAATACCGAAACAGTTAGAAACCAAACTACTGGTTCAAATAAAAAATTCCATAAAACGACGTTGGCAAAGAGCCGGCACCAATCTAGAAAAAAAACAAGTAAAATCAGAACTGAACCATTTGCAAAAGCGAATTAATCATGCAGTCAAATCCGATTCAACTAATTACTGGAACGATAAGCTCCGAAGCATCACTAAGGGAAACAAGAAAATCTGGAATTTATCAAAGCAATTCAGAGGTAAATTAGATAATAACGTTGACAAAATTAAAGTTTTCAATAAACAAAGGTGATTCCCGAAACATATTTCTCGAAATACATTTTCCCGAAATTGCAAAATAGGCCTTTTTCTTGAAAAGGATATTCTCCCGAAAGACAATTTTCCGAAAAAAAATTCCTGAAAAAACTTTTTCCCGAATTTTTTTCCGGAAGATGTTTTGACAATTCTATACCAAATTGCTCAATTTTTTCAAAGTTCTTTAACTGTGGTTAAAATTTCTCATGAACTAAGTCTGATGAAGTTTTAGTGAATTTTCCTTAAAAGAAGAGTGAACCTTTTTCCGTTCCATTTTTTCACTCCCATTTTTCCCGAATCCTAATTCATGTTGAATTGAAATAAAAATCGGAGAGAATGCTTATTAGAATGGAATACAAGACCGAACGAGTGCGCGCGCGAGTGAAGGTCTTGTATTCCATTCTAAGCACTCTCTCCCATTTTTTCCGAAACCGCAGCCAAGCAAAATTAAACAAAAATAAAAGTGGAAGAGAGTGCTCAGAATACAAGACCGAACGAGCGCACGCGCAAGTGAAGGTCTTGTATTCCATTTTGAGCACTCTCTCCCATTTTTTTCCGAACCCCAAGCTTAATAAAATTAAAATTAAAATGGGAGTGAGTGCTTAAAATAGCACGCAAGACCTAACGAGAGTTTGAGAAAGAAGTGCTCATCGAAAAAGTGTTTTATACTATTCGAGATAAATATGCTATTCTGAAAAAAACCAGAAAAAAGTCAGGAACATATGCTATTATGAAAAAAGTCACTATTCGGGAAAAAAAAGTTGGGAAAAATTCGGGAAAAAAAATTCCGGAAAAAATTCGTGAAAACATTTTTTGGGATTTCAATTTCGGGAAAATGTACCGTTCCGGAAAAAAAAAATTCGGGAAATCAACTTTCGGGAAATCGTATTTTCGGGAAAAAATTCGTTCGGGAAAATGTATTTTCTGGTAATTGTTCGGTAATCATAAACAAACATTCGATGATACGGACAAAGCGGATCTCTTGGCCAAAATATTCGAACAAAATCACAACATCACAACCCACTACAAGCGCGACAACGATGCGACAGTAAACGCTGTGGTCAATTCATTCAATACATTTTCTTCAATTCAATGTCATTCACCCGAAATTAGTCACAACGAAGTATTCAACATTATTAAATCACCTAAACCATTTAAATCCCCGGGACCCGATAACATTCAAAACATATTAATAAAAACCTATCACCTGCGTCGATCAAGTGGCTCACCATGATAATTAATAGTTGCATCACTTTATATTACTGGCCATCAAGTTTCAAAATCGCAAAAATTATCTCAATTTTAAAAGGCGGTAAATCACCAACTGACCTACACAACTATCGCCCGATTAGTTTACTTAACGCACTAGGCAAAATATTCGAAAAAATAATTCATTCTCGACTCGCTACTGTCATCGAAGAAAAACAACTTCTACCAGCTTATCAACCACAAGCATCACGAATTAAGCAACACATCATCACCAGCAAAGCACAACAAAAATCAACCGGGATGTTTCTACTCGACATAGAAAAAGCCTTTGATTTGGCATAATGGTCTGATTTACAAATTTTCAAAATGAAAATCCCAAAATACCTAATTAAATTGATCCAATCATTTATCAAAAACCGCGAATTTGCTGTACATATCAACCATTCAATCTCAAACAAAATATGCCTCTCGCCAACTCTCTACGCATTATTCGTGGCGGACATGCCAATTGAAGATAATTCCATAGCCGCACTTTATGCCGATGACACAGCCATATACACATCAGCGAAACAATCGAATACAATTATCAAACGTCTAAATACGTCACTTAACTCGCTACAATCTTATTTCCATAAATGGAAAATTAAAATCAGCACATCAAAAACGCAAGCAATAATTTTTCCATTCAATAACAAACGTAAACGCATACCAACCATTGCATTAAAATACGGTAATAACAATATACCACTATCAAATTCAGTCAAATATCTGGGTATTACATTCGATAGGAAACTTAATTTTGGCGAATACATTAGTAATTCAATTGACAAATAGAATTCTATACAATATATTCTACACAATAGAGCTCTACAGGGTGTCTCACGAACTAGGCGCACCCCCTAAATTTAAAAATTTTAAAAAACGCTTTGGGGGGTATGTTGGGGGTAAAAAATAGAAAATTTCTATCGGAGCGGAATTTTGAATTTTTCCCCAGGGGGGTTGGGGGTGCCCCCAATTTTACAAAACTTCATCTGATCAAAAAATAATGTACTACAAAGTTGTTCAAAATGACGAGAGAAATTTTTTAGGACCCCTGCCCTCCAAGTCCCTGCACCCCTTAAGGGGGTCGGGGGGTCAAAAACCCCCAAGATGTGATTTTTTTGACCTGAAACCCAAAAATTCGGAATCAGCATGAAAAATTACCTTAGAATCGATATTTTTCTCATTCACGTTTTTTCACAAATTTTTGGCCAATACTATAATATGGATGCCCGGTTTGGTTCTCATTTTAAAGCTTAATAAGAGAAATAGATCTCTTATAACTACTAAAAGTTACAACATCCAATTTTATTTTATTATTTTCCCTAGTCTTAAGTTCTCAATTTTTTTTAAAAATCAAACAAAAACTATAAAACTCTCATAAAACCCGTCAAATTGTGGTTTTTTCCTAATTTTCCACAGGCACCTAACAAATCACTTAAATTACACCTACTAATTACTTCATATGTTGGGAAGTCTACCGACTGTAACTCATAAGAAACATATGTACATACCAAACAAAATATTCAGAAAATAAACAGTACATTACCTTACATTACCCAATCGCATCTCACGTTCAACGTCGCTAATTGCGGTGTTTCGACGACGATAAGTATAATTGATGGCATTTTTTATATCTTCATCGTCGCAGTATGGCAATTCTAATTCGATCAAACCGTACAAATTGTTGAAATAATTGTACTTGATGGCGTAGTCGTTTAGTTCGAATGCTCTCATTTTAAAAAACTTCCCCAATTGACACTCGCAGTGCGTTGTCAGGTTCGTTATGAAATTGTCGAGGTACTGCTCACACAAATATTTAAAACCATTTCCGAACCCACCGTTTGTGGGCCAGTCAATGTGTGCAGCGTCGACAATGTTGCGGAAACCAGGTAAGCGATATGTCACCAATGTTATCGACAAGAACGGCCTTAAAACAGTTGTGTATGATCGTTGATGGTTCATCGGTTACAAAAAAATCATAATTGAAATCGTCGAGTGCTTCATTGACCTATTCAAGAAACACAGAATACACATAGAGAGAGAGAGAGAGAGAGAGAGAGAGAGAGAGAGAGAAAAAGAGAAAGAGATAGAGATAGAAAGAAGCAATCAAATCAATTCATATAAATACAATGGATCGCATAGTGCCGAAAAAATGATGAAATAATGACGAAAAATGAATTCTGTCAAAGCAATGTGTACTTACCTTCATAGTTACGATGCAAGGCATGCGATCTTCGTAGCCTTCACCGATAAATACGAAATGATTGCGACAATTACATCCCGATATCTTTCACGGACAATCGACGGCAGTCCTTGCTTTATTGACCTTTGGTCGACGTTTGTATCAGCCTTCTTGTGACGACCCATTTTGCTGTCTATTTACACTCAATTAAAAATAAAAATAAGTAAAAATAATCAATCTCAAAACTAACAGCAAAATTCCAAAGAATAAATATATTGATCAAATGATGAAAACACTACCAGAGAAACTCATTTTAAACTGAACTGTCAATTCGATTCATAATACACACAAGATTTTATTACGTTCGATTGTGAAATTCCAATTTTAACACTCAACGCGCTTCTTCCAACAGTAAAATATATCGATGCAATAAATTCACTCTTTCGATCGCATGGCAAAATTATGATTTTTCACGTTGCTAGTTTGTGAATGTTCTGTTATTTTAAAATCAAGACAGAAACAAATACAAAATTTACCACGTGAATAAATCTATTCTTTTGCAACATACATTAAAATCACATGAAAGGAATCATTTGTATAAAAAAACTAACACGATGTGATGCGATGCGATGATTACAACGCGAATTTTTGAATGTAAACAAATACTCTCGGCTTCGTTTTGACATGCACAACAGCCAACTGTCAAATGTCATACACATTCCAATAGGTCTCGAATTCGAAATTTGAATTTAAATTCATGAAATAAAAAATAATAATATATACGTTTAAAAAATGCGAAAAAATGTCTCTTGCTGAAACAAAAATCAAATTTCTTTATATACAAATTGTTTATTATTTTTTCTGGGACTATTGAATCATTATATAATTGAAATACGAAATTAAAACTTAACGTTGTGTTGGGTTGGGTTCACATTTGCTGTGGAATGTGAAAACTACAAACATAATGCATCTTTTATTTTACACGAAAATGACCACCAAAATTGGTCAAAGCGGTACATTTTTCAACGTTAAAAAAACGTTACAAATTGGTGGCCCCCCCTATCCAGTCTGAAAAATTTCTGCGATTGCCTTGAAACCTTTTTAGGGATTTAGTGATTGGCAAATTGGCTGCTTGGGTAAATACTCAAAAATATTAATATACGCAAATTTGTATAGCTTTATTAATAATAAAAACTCCACAAAGTCTACCCATTTTCACACGATTTCTTCAAAAGCAATGAAATGCCGAATATTGGGCTTCGTGTATTTGTGCCGGCTATATCGGGATGTTATACTGTATGTATTTATAAAAAAAATATTTGTTGCTATTGTTTTCACGTCCGTTTCAACTTATAAGTGTTCAATTATATTAGCAAATTTATTATAAATTCAAATGCAAAAGCACAACGTTTTTCGTTCCATCCACGAGGTAAGGGATTTTTATTTGATTTAACATTATACAAAAATCAAGCATATCCTTATTGAAACAAACCAATGACAAATTCTTCATATTCATATATATATATATTATTTGTTTCAAAAGTATTTTATAGTCGAAACGAACTGGAATATGAAGTGGAATGAATGGAAAAAAATGAGTAAAATAGACAATATATCCCTCTCAATACATTCGAACGTCAAATTGGATAAATGATAAATGTTCAGTGAACAGTGTATTCTTTAATGTAAAAAATTATGTAAACTATGTTTGTCTCATTCTAATTTTCGCTGCAAAGGTTCCATATTCATGCACTGAATTGTCTCTCGACTATCTTTGAATAACTTGCTATTAACGTCGGTCTTGTGTGTCTTAGAAAATGTACGTCACGCGTTAATATACAGCACAATAAAGTTGAGAAAGTCTTATAAAAATTATAATAAAAACTCTAACCATTGAAAACTCTTTTTCAAACTTCATTAAGTTCATAACATCGACAAACCTAATTATTCTAGTTCAGAAATGTTGTAACATGTACACACACATACAAGCATTTTCCAAAGTTGAATAAAAAAATGTAGACTCAGTGTGAACTGTCAAAGTGAGTGCCCGCTGTAGAATTTCAAAAAGAAAAGTATATAGCAAATTTTGTTTATGCAAAACATATTTTCTGAGTAATTTTTTAATCAATTCAAAATGAAAAATAGTAAATGTATGATTTATTGACAGAAGTCATATTGAAATTTCAAATAAATTCGCAATTTCTATGCAAATTGCATGTGATACGATTTTATTTTGATATTTCGTTTAGATTTCATAATAATATCTAACATAATCTTTTATATTTTGCTTAATTTATGTGTATTTGCTATGTGTGTATAAGTTGTGTTTATATTTGAATATATGTGTGTGTGAATCTTTCAATATTTTTTTACACTTGACAGCTAATAATAAAATCAGTTGCGAATGTATTTATTCTTTGAATTTAAAGAAATTTTGCTGTATTATATTCATGGAAACATTTAAGGAGATTAATTTTGAATGTTTTTTGCCAAATAACAAAGCACTTATAATAATTTGTACGAACAATACCGATAAAAAGAAACAAAAATCTTGGGTGATGACAGATAAATGAAGAGGCTAAACTATGTGTATTGATTTTTTTATAAAACAACAAAAAAGATTTAAATTCAAAAATTAAATAAAAATTTGCTTGTAATGAAATATTGAAGTAATCGAAATTGTGATATTGAAAAAGATAGAATCAACAGTTACGACCATCGCATCAGCACGCTAATTCCCACGTAAATATTAATATTTTCTTCATTTTCTGTAAATAATATTTAGTTAATATTTTTGATTTTAATAAAGTTGTTCAATTATTAAATATTGAAACATTTAACAATATTTCATTAATTTTGTCATAAAATATGGCACAGCTAACCATACATGTTAATAGCGACTATTGAGATTATTACTATATGCATAGTTCTGATGTGTGATGTATCTTGTATCCCACACGAAAATATCTTTTTACGAAAAGCGCGAAGCGTGAGCATATTTATATGTCTGGGAGCCGCGCATAATTCAATTATTGCCTAATTCTATATTTTTGATCGGTATGAAATTAAATCATAAATTATTATCCAATATTTAAAAAAAAATTGAGAAAAGTGTTTTCATCATCATATGCTATATCAAATATGTGTTTGATGTGGCGATTTGGTCAAATTCGTTTGTTTACTTAAAAGAGATACTCGTATTTTAAAAGCAAAATGTTGAATAGGATAATTGTACATCATGTATATTTTACATGCTTTTCAATAGTCCGTCAAATCGGCTATCTATTATCATGCGTTACTGCTTTTTATAACTATACCGATGATATATTTCATCAGAGATGAAAACCGGTTAAATACCTAATTTGCGATTTTTTTTTCTCATTGTTCCTATTTGAAAGTGGCAAAAAACATATATTTTTTTTAATACAATATCTATCGCTGACCAATACAAAGTTATATTAATGACTGCAACAATAAAAAGTAGCTAATTAATGTTTTGGTATTTCATTGTTTTTCATGAAAAGATATCGTTTATCAAATCTAACTCTTCATTAAAATATCGATACTTGATTTTTTGGTAATCTATCTGAAATTGAAAGTCTGTATCTATGTATGTTCAGTGTTGGCGGTAGAAGTGCTCATTCAATCTGGATGATTGGTATTCAGTTGAAAAGGTTTTAGTCTATTATTTTGATGATGATAGTTAAATAAAAATAATAATAATAGAATTTTATGTAAAATATAGATTGAACAAAACAATCCGACATTATCAGAATAGTTTGTAAAAAGTGACCCAAAGTTTTTTTTCATACTGAATTTGAAATTACCAAATTGAATGTATCATATTAGGTGTATCGATCAATTTCCGGAATCTGACAAAAGATGTCACCACTTGCTTGTGCGTTGTAGTAGATCAATGACTTATACGTCATTTGAAAGGCCTATTCAAATACTGTCAAAATCAGTCAAAAGTGTTTCATTTGTTTGTGCGAATCATATTTTTTTTCAACGATGGAAAATTTTGAAAATTGGAGAAAGAAACAGCATTTGCGGGAAGTTTTGTTAAGCTATTTTTTTGCAAAGAAAACTGCAGCTAAAAGTCATGGTTTACTTGTGAAATTGGGCGGAAGTCACAGCTAACGATGGGCAATACATTGGTTAAAAAAAAATTGTACGGTTTTTTTTTAAATAAATGTATCTTTTCACCAAAAAAATTCCGGAAATTAATCGATACACCCATTATATGTGGTTAGATACGGAGTAACTTCATTTACTTTGCAAAAAAGATGATTTGATTTTAATAATAATTTTGGTAAGTGATCCTAGGCATAGAGAAGGCACAATAACCGAGTATTTTCAATCAATCAATCAATGCCAAAAAAACTGCAATTCTTAATTAAATAAATAAATAATGAATGTTGTGGTGAATGTCAATAGCCTGCGGTTTATTCGAAATATTTTCACTCAACACATAAATTGATGATAAAATTGTTGAATGTCACAAAATTTGGAAGAAATGTTCGGCTTCTACCGGGGGTAGCTCGGACGATTTAAGGGGGGTTATCCGGACTAAACCCACCTGTGCCCGTGTATGATTTTTATTGAAGTTGAATTATCTGGATTTGGTTATGCAAAAAGAAGCCAAAACAAAACTTTATATGAAATAAATGTAATAATGACATCAAACATGTAGAAATACAACCTTTCATTGCTTTCTTTTTTATTGTGGGATTAAAATAACGTAAATAGAAAAGAGGTAAATAAAAGAGAATAAATACAAGAAGAAAAGAAAGCTATGATTGACACTCAATGTAGATTTTAAGGAATCAGAAAGCACGAAAAAATTAGAACGAAAAAATCATTATATGAATAAGATTTTTTTATAACAGTTGACTTTTTATTATAGATAGCGTTTTTTTATTTTTCATGGTATTAGCTAAAATTCAAATAAACATGAGTTCACAACACAATTTCGCTTCACTACAAGTTCTATTTTATTTATATGCACCAACAATTATAATATATACTCACAATATGCTTATTAGAGATGTCGTATACAAATGCATACAAACAATTATGCTCACAATCTTTCATGGGTAAAACAAAAAATCATAACAGCTGTGTTAGAGTATTGATTGCATGCACTTTTGATTAACATCTTTCATCAAAATTCATTTCAAGATTTGTGAAGCTAAAAGAAATAGATAAATAAAAAGAAGTAGAAAATGAGAAGTGAAACAGCAAAAAAAATGAAATCAAATGAGAAAAAATGCATGGCATACATATACCGGATCATGAAACAAGTACGTTATACACAATTGTATAATGTGTATATCTGTGTTAAAGGCTCTAACTTAGAGCATGAATGAAAAAACCTGGGAGATCGAAAGGTATTCAGAGTTACGCTGGGTGTATTCCCATACACCCATAGCAAATAGAAAGAAAAATCAAAAAGCTAGGGAATGCGCCGCTAGAAAAAAAATTATTCGAATAATGGGAGTGCACGAAAAAATGGATTGTTAGATCCACGACGAACAATACTAAAAATAAATACTTGAACATGCACTATGGTTTTGCTGTGCCCGCGCACATATGCTGTGACACGACATTGCAATGCACAATTCGTTGCACAGTAAAAAGCGTTTAAAGAAACGCCATTGGTTGATTTTGTTCTTCCTATGTGAACGTTTTGATTTTCCATTTTTGCGAGTTTGTGATTTCAAATTGTAGCCCCATCACACACTTGCCAAAATCGTAATGTATCACTAGCGCGTTACCTATCTATTATGGATTAATATGTATAACATTTTGAATGCGCACTATTATATGTCAGCATTTGATTTTCATTTGCTAAAAAATGCGAATAACGTAAGCATAATTGAAATAAGTTCATTTGATAACTGAATCTCTAATTTACAAAAATTCACTCGCTCATTTGTAAAGTCCAGATCTAATTATTTAGCAAATAAAATATAATATTATTGCATTTTATTAAATAGGAGAAAAGATATTGGTAGCGAAACCGAATATAGCTATAACTCGACATATAGGCTATAACAAATACATCGAAATCGACCAACGGAATAGTATTGAAACACCGACAGAAATATATGCAAGCACCAATAGACAATGATATCAACAATGTGAAAGAGAAACAACAATACAAACAATTTGTTATAGAAAAAAAATGTAGTATCACAATATTCATTTATTCATCCAAATGAGCTTACGTACAGATGCAATGAGCCAGTTTAAAAACGACTTTAGTAGAGCTCACTTAAGGCAGTAGCAACACATGAAAGGAGGTACAGTCGCAAGTTGTAAAATGAAATGATTGAAGAAACGACAACGACAAGAATAAAGCTTGATATATACATATATATATATATATATATATATATGTGTGTGTGTGTGTGTGTGTGTGTGTGTGTGTGTGTGTGTGTGTGT